GGGGGGGGGGGGTTACAAAAGGCAATCATCTCTGATGAGTCTAATTTTCAGCTGTGACCAACACCTGCCCAATATGCCCAAGAAAAAATGCACTGTGAAAGTACAGTCTTACTGTGAAGTTTACAGGTAAATCTTAATGGTTCATAATTCTACTATAAAGTTTACTGTTCATCCCTGAACTTTTCACTGCAAACTCTTGTTTTACTTTGAAGTTCATGATCACCTCTTCTGGTGTTTAATAATTTTGACAGNAAAGTTTACTGTTCATCCCTGAACTTTTCACTGCAAACTCTTGTTTTACTTTGAAGTTCATGATCACCTCTTCTGGTGTTTAATAATTTTGACAGTGAAGTTTACAGTTGACTGTAGGTTTCACAGTAGAACCATGAAAAGTGTACAAATTCACTGTAAATTCGAACTGTAAGAGCACATAGTAAAACTATCAAACAAGTTAATAGTTTTACTATGAAATTTCACAGTGCATTTTTTCCTGGGTGATGGATAGACAGAGACCACAAGAGGCCTACATGCCCCAGTGCCTGTGAAATTTGACATCACTAGTAATCTGGGGATGAATCAGCAATACTGGAATCCAAAAGATTTGTCTCTGTGAAGGACACGTGACTCAAACAACATATAAGGTTGTCCTGGAAGGACACTTGCTTCCATCTGCTCAGACAATGTTCTCCTACCCTGTTGACTGTCTTTTCTAAGTTTTCCAAGTGTCCCCGTCACTGCACTAGGGCACTGGATTCCACACTGATCACAGGGTGGACTAACCCGTTGGACACACCAACACCTCTCCCACAGCAACCCAGCTTTCTCAGCTGGTCTCCCATCCACAGCCCCCCCCACCAAGGTTAAGACCTCCTGGAGTACACCCAAGGGTATAACTTTGGGTTGAGCAGGGGGGGTTGAGGTCTCCACCCATTTAAGGGGGTCCATGGGGTTGTACTGACTGGTTTTGATTATTTGTGGGGTTACAACCCCCCCCCCTCCATAATTTATGGCCATGCTTAGATCTACAAAAAAGTTAGTAGAAAATGCTCATTAAGCTACTTCTCACATGTTATTCTTCAAAGGCTGCACGTTATGCTTCTTTCTGTTGTTCCCTGATGACCCTAACCCTTTGCCAGTGACATGTCATCCCGACAACGGACCCTTGGAGCTGTAATGTATAATGCAAACAGAGCAGCATGCACGCTTTCACTTCGGGGTGGAGGGGGCTTCAGAGCACACCACGGAGCCTCCCCTGTCGCGACACAGGGACCGAGCAATGAGGCATCGAGAGAGGCTCGTTCAAAGAGCCGTCTGTTCCCATTATTCATCTGGGACGGCTGCCGCAGGGAGGGCACGCTTGATGGCTAATTAAAACTTCAGTCAAAAACGCACACATGGGCTTCGTTCTTCACAGGTTGTAATGAAACCAAGCTGGGGAAGCTTTTGAAGGAGCACTTATGCCGTTACCCTAG